GACGTAGGCAATTTGCCGAACCACGTAAAATTTGTGTTCTTACCGTGATTTGTAATAGCTTGTAGGTTCCCTCGACGCGCAGTCCTAGAGCTGACGAGAGGACCCTCGACGCGCAGTCCTAGAGCTGACGAGAGGACCCTCGACGCGCAGTCCTAGAGCTGACGAGAGGACCCTCGACGCGCAGTCCTAGAGCTGACGAGAGGACCCTCGACGCGCAGTCCTAGAGCTGACGAGAGGAAGAGCTGATATCTCACTTTGATGAGATATCTGGCTTTCGGTTCTTGTTTCCTTTGAGAAACGAGAATTCCGTTGTGATCTAATCTCTTGTTGTGCACCTTGCGCACCGGAGGTGCTGCCGAAATTTTCGCTGCGCACAACAAGTGGTATCAGAGCTCCGGGTTGGACTTGGGAGTTTGTTTGAAGGATTCGCTGAAGGATTCCTATTTGAAGGGTTAGATCGACAGCATGGGTGAAACAAACACATCAGGATCGTCTCTTACGAACACAATACATAGTTTGAGCATCAATAACATGAAGATTGATGTTCCGAAATTCGACGGCAATATTAATTTCGGATTGTGGAGATGTCAGGTGATGGACGCCTTGGACACTCAGAATTTGGAGGAGACTCTTGAGTTACAAGAGAAACCTGCCGATATGGAAGCTAAGGGTTGGAAGAAGATGAATAGTAGGGCGTGTGGAGTTATTCGGTCATGCTTGACGCCGGATCTTATTTATGACGTGATGAACGAGACGTCGGCGAAGAAGATGTGGGAAACACTCAATGAAAAGTATCTTACTAAGAGCATTGAGAATCGGCTTCACTTGAAGAAAAGGTTTTACCAGTTCAAGATGAAGAGGGGAGTTTCCATTAGGGAGCATGTTAACAACTTCACGAAGCTACTTTCAGACATGGCCAATGTGGATATCATGGTTGAGGATGAAGACAAGGCGATGCTACTTTTGTGTTCATTGCCCGAGGATGATTATGGTACTTTTGTCCTAACTATGATTAATAGAAGAACTACTGTTAGTTACAATGAGGTGACCTCAGCGTTGGTGAATTATGAGTTGAGGAAAAGTGTTGATGAGCCCTCCGAGAAGGCATCGAGAGATGCATTAGTAGTTCAAGGTCGTGGTTCAAACCGAAGTAGGAGGTCGCGGTCTAGAGGTGCACATCGTGGGATTCGTAGGAATCAGTGTGCCTTTTGTAAAGAGGATGGACATTGGAAAGCTGAATGCCCAAAGTTAGATCGAGCCGAGAAGAATAAGGGGAAAGCTGTACAAGCTCCAGAGGTGAATGTTGTCAAGACTAATGGCAACAATTCAGATTCGGATTCTTCAGGCTATTCGTTGTCTGCACTACCGTCAGTTTGTGTTGCCAACTCTACAGAGTGGATGTTGGATTCGGGTGCTTCATACCACGTTTGCCCTAGGAGGGATTGGTTCTCCAGCTTTCAGAAGTTGGAAAGAGAGGATGTTGTGCTCATGGGTAATGGACATGCATGCTCTATTGGTGATATTGGTACCGTTCGTATTCGGATGTATGACGAAGTGATTCAGAAGTTGGAAGAAGTGAGGTTCGTTCCACAGTTGTCGAAGAACATCATTTCACTAGGAGCTTTGGTGGCATCTGGCTATAAAGTGACCTTGATGGATGCACGTTTGAAGGTTACATTGGGGTCCATGATTGTTATGAAGGGCGTTAGAAGGAGCAATTTGTATTATTTGCTCGGAAGCACGGCGGTTGATAGGGGGATGACGACTTCATCAGATTCGGCTAGACTGTGGCGTTGTTTGATGCTGGGTTATTTGATTGGTAATGCCGTGTATTGGTTATTGAGGAGTGCTTTGACCTGCAGTTTGAAGTCCTGTGAACCTATTGGTATGAGAAAGAAGACCGATGTGGAGTTTGGCACTTCTATCCATCACTCGAGGGGTCTTCTGAGGGGTGTTCATTCAGGCATTTGGGGGCCTTCCAAGGAAGCATCATTGGGAGGTAATAGGTATGTAGTTTCCGCAGTTGGGGATTGTTCTAGGCATTGGTGGGTTGCAACCAAGTCCCGTTGGTGTGAAGTCCTAGAAGCCCGCAACAAATTGAGGAAGTATATTGGCAGAAATGTGAATGTACTTCAGTCTGATGTTAGAGGGAGGTACAAGAGGGACCTATATCTGCATTTGTGCCGAGCTCACGGCAATAGGAGACACTTCATTGGTGTGGAAACTTTGAGGCGACGTGATGAGATGTCAAATTTGGGGAGTTGTTCCTTTCTGGAGGAGGATATGCATTTGATGTCGAGCATTGACATTGGTGTGCAGGTTACGACATGTTTGGGCCATCTTATGTATAGGTTACCGACTACTGCATGTAGAGATTTTGGATCTGGTGGAGCTGCTTCAGATTTTGGGTTGCGTCGGATGTTTGGCTACCTAGCACTTGTTCACATCGTGGATGTGAGATTTGATCCGATAGCACATTTGGGACTCAGAGGCGTGTTTGATTATCAGGTATTGGCTTCTGATTTTGTTCTGAGCAGGTATGTCACGTTTAACTCTCGGCAGGTGGAGAGTGGTGATCAGATCTTTGGGACATCATAGCGGGTGGAGAGTGATGCTACTCCACGCTGGGTAGAGACTCCAGATCATATTGCATCATTTGGGATTCCAGCTGATGTGACACAGATTGGGGATCATTTGGATTTAGATACAGATGATGAGTTGGATTCGATTGCAACTGATGGACTTGATTTGGATACGGCCATTGGTTCACCTCAGATGGAGGTGTTTGATTTGTCTCAATTCGGGGCTATTGAAAGTGCTATCAGTTGCAGATCGTTTGGTGATATTGAAGAAGAGTTACAGACTTTTCTATTTGATTGAGGGCCTTTGGAGGCCATTTGGATGAACTATGTTCGGCTTGATTCCTTGGACAAGAGGATATGTAGGTAGTCTTTACGATGCAGCCGGTTTGGATTTTGGTGGGGGTGAGACCGATTTGGTGAGCGACATCGACATGTGGGGTGAGTGTTTGTACTCCCATTTGGGTCTCAGCAAGTGAGGCATTTGGTGTGGTCGGTGTAGGCTCAGTTTGATTGGTGACTAGACACTATTTGTTTTGGGTGAGTGTTCGCACTCCCGTTTGGGTCTCGACGTGTTGTGGATGAAGTCTGTTGTCATGAGTCCATTGCCATGACGTACTGGACACAACAAGTGGGACATTTGGTTGCTTTGGTGTAGGCTCAGTTTTGAAAAAACTTCACCGAGGTGGAGAATTGTAAACGAGTGGGACGTGGGGGCCACGAAGTGAAACCCACAGACAGACCCACGTGATTGCGGTTTCTCTCTAGTTGCGGAACAACAAAGCCCACCCGAGATAGCTTTATAAAAAAGCCTTTGCCTAGGGTCTCGACGTGTTTGTTTTTGCGGCTGCAGGAGGCGGTGCAAGCGATCAAAGAAAAAAAAAGCGACGTGTGCAGAGGTTCTTTTTCGTTGGCTTTGGGCGGCGCGTAAGCAGCGAAGGAGGGTTGTGCAGTCGGCTGTTCTCTTTTCTTTGGTGGCGCTGGCAGAGGGCTTTTGTTAGGGTTTTGTGCATCCCCTTTTGAGAGAGATAATTGTGTGAGGGATTTGAGAGTTTGTGTGAGGGTTTAGGTTGTGAGATTGTAAACCCCAGTTGTATCTCTCCCTCTAATAGTAAATCTCTCCCTCCTTGCCCCGTGGACGTAGGCTATTTGCCGAACCATGTAAAAGTTGTGTTTTTATCGTGATTTGTAATAGCTTGTAGGTTCCCTCGACGCGCAGTCCTAAAGCTGACGAGAGGAAGAGCTGATATCTCACTTTGATGAGATATCTGGCTTTCGGTTCTTGTTTCCTTTGAGAAACGAGAATTCCGTTGTGATCTAATCTCTTGTTGTGCACCTTGCGCACCGGAGGTGCTGCCGAAATTTTCACTGCGCACAACACAATGAACTATATATTTAGGGGTTAAAGTTGCCTTTACACCCGAGGGGTTGGCCATCCATTTACTATCCTTAAAACTTCACTACTAGGATTTTGACCCTCTGGGGGTGGATGCAGATACCTTAGATGGGGTGCAACTGCACCCCCAAAAATTAACAAATTGGGTAGAAGTCTTTCTAATATCTATGATCTGCCTCTTCATAAATTTTATAAATTGCATTCCGATCTATTAAAGCTACTAAATAAATTAATAGCAAATTAAATCAGCCCATTTAAAGTATACTGAGTGCATTCCCATCAGCCACTATTATTCTATAATAATATATTTTTATTTTTATTTGTAGAGAAATAGATACTTGTTGTCGCTTCCCCAAGAAAAATTTTCTGGATCTGCCAGATGCGCAAACGAAGTTATATTTCTATTATTTGCACCCATCATGAGGATGCCATGTGATGTAGCATGTTGAATAGAGACCTATTCTTTGATAGGCGTTGAACATTACCCCCACTCATTACCTATCAAGAGTCCTTGCCGTTGTACCAAAACTCTGAAGTTGTAGTGAGGGCTGAGGGTTGTAAATTTATGTTCTAACACGTCCCCAGTCCCCACAGGTTGAGCACCTTTTTTGAGCTGAAACCTAGATTCATGTAGCAATATCAATCTTTTTTCAAGTCCGCTTTAAATTTGTGGTCGCTAGGAATTGAACCTGGGTTGCTTTGTTACGAGTCAAAGGTCTTGCCACTACACTGAAGTTGTGGTGAGTACATTACCAGTGAGCAGGCCTCGGTGTTCCAAAGAAGCATAGGGTTTTACTGCTAAGCACGAACCACTTTCCATTCAAGATTTAAAAGGTCATATCAATGCATAGGAGATTTTGTTGAATGTATAACCATGAGAAGATTTGGGATTATATTTTCAGTCACAGAAAACTTGCATATAAGGAAGAACATGAAACATTTAACGTAGAAAAGCTTGGATTTTATGTACTTAGTTTATGTTACAAATAGAGCTCTCATCATTTGTAAAGTCAAGGGCCTATTTATGTTTTTTTGAGAACTTTTCTCTAGATTCATCTTACATGTAGCTGAGGCAGCATTTGGTCGCATGGGAACTGAAAAGTCATGCTACTGAAGTGAGACACTTGTAGAAGGAGTTTAGTTCATGGAGAGTTTTCTATGACTTATAAAATTTAGGGAGATATTTTGAAATTACCTTTTATAAAAATAGGAAGCTCTCAACTTGGATAGAAAGAAAAACATATTATAATGAATTGTAAGAATCTTACCAAAACAGGGAACAGCGGGGATGAAATCTTGTTATGAGCAGATTTGTACTTGTGAGTGTCCAACATGAGAAATGCGAACAAAGCACAGAACAGGCTGACACAGAACTTCCCAAGAAAGAGAATAATATCTCCAATGACATTTACTTTCCCTATACGCAAAATGTTGTTCATTATGAGACCTGTTGCAACTGCAGAAGCCTTGCAGAATCCCTTTCCAGTGATTGCAATCTGGATGATAATGACAGAAAAATAGTGGTCAGTAACAATACCAGGAAAAGCATTCTGAAGAATGCAATGAAAAGTTCAGTGTCTACATGAGTCTCTAAGGGCTGTTTAGCAGTGTAGTCAGCATCACCAACATGAAGGCGAGTTTTTTTTCTTCTTCTTTTATTCAATGGTTGATTAATTTTAGAAAATTGATTATGTTTGCATCAGAAAAAACAGAGTTACCAGTCCACGATATATCTTTCTGAGTCATTGTAGAATAAGCAAATATCATTCCCAGCTCTACTATTTACTGAAATTTTCTGCGCAAAGTGAATGTTGTTTGTAGAGCCTGATTCATATAAAGAAGACATGGGGAAAAGACGAATAAAAGATTATTAACGTTGAATAACATATGAGCATCCATCTTTTGATGGACAAAGGGGCCAACCTTAATAAACCACAACAACAGATTCCCAACAAGCGTGAGCTAATACTTGCTCAATTTTGTAAAAGGTACATGATGTTATAAATGCGAAAAAAGCTTTATGGATATATAAGCCAAAAATCTTAAAAGTAACCTTTATGATGAAACATTCCTTCACTAAAAGAAAAGATAACTAAAAAGATAATATTACATTATTCAATTAATGACCACCAAGAAACGTACCATGATATATGCATTCCGATTCACTGATCTAAGTGTCCCATCAATGCATCCAAGGCAGCAACGAGAAGCTGAATTATCAGATAGTTTCAATCTACGACGGAGTGATTCAAGAATAAAGCGAACTGTTTCAATAGGGAACACAACCAGAGAACCCAGGGCCACAGACCCGAGGCTATAGCGCAAGAGACGCCTCATAGAAGCAAATACTGGCAAAAAAGGAATCTCCTCCTGCATTGTAAAATATCCTTTGAATCTACTAAACATATGATAAAGTTTCTTTTCTTTTCCCTTTTTTTTGGTGGGGTGGGGTGGGGGGACTTGAGAAGGAAAAAAATTAAGATGGTCACAGTGTAAGAATCTGTGTCAGTTCTACAGTGCTGCTCAGAAGATCAACATTTGGATGGGAAAATGCTTAATGATGGTAATCTAAAATTTTAATTTTTTCGTGTTTCCTATATATACTTGAATGACAAAGCTTATGCATAAGAATCAAATGTCTGTGACCTCCAGTACCTCACAATTGGAAAATCAGTTCTTTGAAGACGAAAACACTTTTCCAAACCTTGTAACTTTACAAGTCTAACAATGCAACTTATTCATATACAAAATAAAGTACATGGAAGACCACAAATTTCTTGATACCTAGAAGAGAAAGTACCCAGTAAATCAGGTAACACACCATTTAAATCTTGTTACAACTTACATATTAAGTTGAACCAAGAATATTCACTGGTGTGCTTAACCTTAGGTGATTCAGTATCAGGGTGTCTATATATGAATATGTATGCGTCTAATCTAATTGTAGCTTCTTGGCACAAAAAATACTCACCGATATTTCTCCCCGAGCCCAATAATAGGAAGCAACTGATCCAGCAATCACAGTTGAAGAGCATGCAATGAAGAACTGTGTTGCCCAAAAACACCCAAACAAGTGGAAAAGAATGGAAACTGCAATATGAGGAGTGTAATGGATACTGTAGCCACAGCAACTATCACAATTGACCCTGTCGGATTTCAGATCATACGAACAACAATTTCCACTGCATTCATTTCTGAGGATCTGGCCAGAGCTGAAAAGATGTAATGCAGCAGAAAGCCAGAACATATAGAAGAACGCAAGGACAGTATATGGTAGAATGGGAAAAATTATAAGTGCTTGAACTTCTCCAATGACCTTTGCAGCTACCTACATAAATAATAAACGCTAGAGAGATTTGTAGGACTTTATGCATTGGTGCATGACTATGAATTTTGGCAAGATCAAACTGAAAAGTGGTAGGTTACACACTGATTAATCTCAAAAAAAATCTTATGCACACGACTCAGTTAAGAGAATAAAACCCTTGTATAAATAGTGAGTTATACAGAACTACTTACGGCAATTAACTCACCTTTAAAACAGATGTTGCCATAAGGATTCGCCGAACAATGGCTATTGATGAGAGAATAGCAATAATCATCACAATTGTCATAAGCACAGCCACAGCACGAAGGTGACTTAATTCCTAGACAGTCAAGAAGTAAGAAATGAGGAAGAGAGATTTCTAACGAAGTACTTAGAAAGTAGGAACCTACCCTGCCACTGGTGCTGAAGTATGGATCGCTTTCACCAATAACAACTGATACAGCATCATGCCCGATCCACCCAGCTAAAAGCATAAATAGAATTAGGAATTTACTCGACCAATAAATTCAGACTGGGAACTTAAGTTAAAGGAATTTTATGCTAACTTTGAAGCATTTAACATTTAACAATTTGATAAGTAAAGAAATAAAATTAGACTCTCATATGTGAAAGGGTTTTCTAACAATGGATGTACAGCATCCTAAAGGTCCATTGAGAATTTAAATTTCACGAGCATGTTAAGAAAATACAACTAGATGATCATCGCTGCTGACTTGCTTATTGGTTGACAACTAATTATCTCATGCTCTAAAAGCATTTAAGCTAAAGAGTTTAGGTGGTCTACCTTCAGATGGTTCTTATTTGACCTTTTAACTTCAAACAGTTGTTTCCAGGTCAATACACAAGCCCTTTATTCTGATTCCAGTCAATACTAATCTGATAGTATTTTAAATAGTGCGAAAGGCAACTATAAATTGATATTGTTGTCATTCTATATTTTACCAGAGTAATATATTCAACTTCACATTTGAAATAAATTTCAAGTATTCTCATTTCAGTTCATTCCTGCCCAGATTACATTCTTTTAATATGTCGAATGACTCATCATATCAACTCTTATCACATAAGTCAAGAGGCTAATCACATAGGATGCCCTTGTGCTCAGGACTTGCTCCAGGTCAGTCTCTTTATTTATATAGATTGAATCCCTTTCTTTTTTCTATCAATTTGATGGCTAATGCCATAAAACCAGATTAGGCCTATAGGCTAATAAACTTAAGAGGTATCCATATAATAAGAAAGTACACCACTATTACCTCAATGCATTAACAGTAATATAAGGCTTTGGGAAGATATGCGTGGCAAATTTTTACAAATTAAAAAAAAAAAAAGAACGTTGCAGCATATAAATCTAACCTTTGGCATAGTAGAACATTGTAACTGCTACTATAAGAAAATCAAAGATAATCACAGTTATCCAGGTCATCGCAGCAACAAAGTATCGAATCATCAGAAGCCACATCACAGATAAAAAGAGTGGCACTATTCCTCCGCAAACGATCAACACTGGCCAAGCCTTCCCAATATCTGCTACATATCTCTGTAGATCATTAAAAAAAACCATGTTTAGATGTTATCGATATTATAAGGTCTGTTGCTGTATATAAATATACAGTTGTGATTTGCAGGTGAATAAATGTCATATTAATTAAGTTTAAAGCCAATGTTTCGTTAGCTTCATCCCGACTCTCCAACTACATTTATATTAAAAAATTACAAGAGAGCCATGGAACATATTCTGCTTCTCCCCTCAGATCCATGTGATGTAGCAAGGATCCACGGATCTCATAACTCGATTAATTTCTAATACGAATTTAGCAAGTAATGCCAGGTAGAGTAAATGAAATACACGATACTATAATAATTTTTTAAAAATAAAAAAAGATCAACCTTCAAAACAGCAGAATGAGCATTGATGGCCTTGTGAATAATTTTATCTATCAGTATGTTCTCCTGAATACTGACACCACCCATCTGTTGCCAGTGTCTCATAGATGAGTTGGATGCACGCGCTATAAATTGGCAGCTCCAGAAGACTGAAAATAGAATATCGAAAGATGTTAGTCTTTTTTTTATTGTGCATAGAGAAAATTAGGTTTTCATTTCATATAACACACAAAGATAGAAACATAAAATTCCAAAAGGTAAGAAAATCATGCAAGGAACTTGAGCATCGGTTTCTAGTTACCGCTTATTGAGTTATGCATTTCATATTATATCATCCATACCAATGAGTTACTAAACTTTATGCAATTGTAATATTCTTAGGCTTTTCATGAAGTTATAGAAAGGATACTTACCATTTTCACTAGGAAATATAACTGGATAACATGGCCCTTGAAGCTGAAGAGAGCTATTCCTCATCTCCGGAGTAAGAACTTCATAATAATCATAGTTCCTATCAATCCAGTCATCAAGGGACACGTGGATATCTCCTTCAGGATAATCACAAACCCAGTTTAAACCATCTTCAGAAGGAGTTGGGCATTCCATCAAGCAAATGCTTCTAGCATCAGTTAGCTTAAACTCGCTACTCTTATCAGCACTTTGGTAGACTTGGTTCGGATTCACCCAATACTTGACCTCCAATTCGTGTAGATTTGGATCACCATGTCGGTCACCACACACATTCCCTTTGTAGTCTAGCCCATATGTCAGCCTAACGAGACAATTACCTTAGGTCAGTCAACCAAATGCTGAAATGAGCACTGCATAAGCTAGTACTCAAGATTGTACACACAAACATAAATTCTTAACTAAATTGACATAATGATGCTAGAACAAAGAGGAACCTTTCTACAACTTGGATATTTTCATTACGAGTGCAAACAAAAAATGAACATGAAATCATGTTGACAGGGCAAAATGGTATTCAAATGCATGATGTTAGATTAAGTCTATTGGGTATTGGGTTAATGGGCTGTGACCCGTTAACCATACCCCTATTTGTATGACTATATATATATCTCTCTAGTATCTGAATAAATAAATGAAGTTAGGGTTTTTGCTCTCTCAATTATCTCTTTCTACATGGTATAATTTCAAAATTGGAGGTCCAGCTTTCTCCAAGCAAGGGGGGTTTATTGGTTGAGGATTGTTGATTTGGACTCGGACTTTTAGTACCCCCCCGCCGCTACAGTACCACGCCGTTTGTTTTGTTCCTTCTTTTTCTATGGCCTTGAATAGGTGATTCGATGCCACACATGACCCGATCCGGTCATCTACTACTGTCTATTTTTTTTGATCTGTTCTTAGTCTATGTTTAAAGAACAGATCTCTACTACTGCCCTGATTATTTGACTACTATCTACCTACTACTATTGTGCAACAATGTCGAAAACAGATCTCTCCTCCTCTTCTACATCTCCCTCTGCTGCTGCTGGTCAGACTTCTGCGCCCAAGGTAGTCTTGGGGACTACAATAAAATTGAATGGTACAAACTATCTACTCTGGGCTCAGGCTTTCCGCATCTTCATTGGCGCTCAGAGCAAACTTCCACATCTTCTGGCCTCTCCTCCACCCACCACAAATCCCACCTACAGTTCCTGGCTCTCGTCTGATTATTGTGTTATGACATGGCTCCTCAACAGCACGGAACCACAGATTAGTAGCAGTGTTATGTTCTTAACCACTGCGAAGGAGATGTGGGACAGCCTGAAGATTATGTACGGAAATGAGAAGAATGCTTCCCGTGTATTTGAGATTTATGAGCGACTGTTTACGCTCAAACAGGGAGATAGATCAGTTCCGGAGTTCTTTGGTGAGTTAAAGGGACTGATAGACGAACTGGAGATGCATCAGCCTACAGTAGCTGATGCAGCGACACTGTTGGGATATCGCCGTGACTTGGCAGTGTCCAAGTTTCTTTCTGGATTGCACCCTAACTTGCAGTCCCAGGTGAGAGGACAGATATTGGGTGGAGATACATCCCCTCACTGACTGCTACATTCTCTAGAGTCATGCAGGTCTCTACTGGTGTTTCTTCTGATACTTCTGCATCGTCTCCACCTTCAGTGGATCAGTCTGCCATGTTCTCTAGTAGAGGCAGAGGCCGCGGTCGTGGTCGTGGTCGTGATTCTGTGGGAGGACGTGGCTCTTTTAGTGGGAGACAGGGTGATTCTGATAGGGGTTCACGTCAGTGTGGTCATTGTGGGAGGACCAATCATATTTCTGAGAAATGCTGGGAGAAGTTTGGTCGTCCTCAATGGGCCCAAGTAGCCGATGCCGAGTCGACTCGCTCACCTATTTCTATTATTATTTATAGTAATCCAGCTACTACTGTTCCTACTGTTCAGATTTCTCAGACAGATTATGAGAGGTTAAGCCAGCTAGAGATCTCTCAGAACAGTCATTCGGCTACTCATGCATCCTATTCAGGTATGGATGCTTACATAGCTTCTCCTCATGAACCATGGGTACTAGATTCTGGAGCCTCATCCCATATGACAGGTATAAAGGATCGTTTTGTCTCTTTACATCTTTCTGATAAGCTTCCCTCTATTCGCATCGCTGATGGTACACTTTCTCCAGTTCTTGGTGCTGGAGTAGTTCATGCTACTTCCTCTTTGAAACTCACTGATGTGTTATATGCTCCTAAATTCCCTGTTAGCTTATTATCCATTAGCAAGTTTACAAAGCACAATAACTGTAAAGTCACCTTCTTTCCTTCTTATTGTGTCTTTCAGGACCTAGCAACTGGGATGACGATTGGTTCGGGGCATGAGAGATGAGGTATGTACTATTTGGACAACAGTGTGCCGGGTGCTGGTCTTGTTGCAGCACAGCCTGATTCTACCTTACTGTGGCACTGGCGTCTGGGTCATCCTTCACTATAGAAACTTAGAATTTTATGCTAACTTTGAAGCATTTAACATTTAACAATTTGATAAGTAAAGAAATAAAATTAGACTCTCATATGTGAAAGGGTTTTCTAACAATGGATGTACAGCATCCTAAAGGTCCATTGAGAATTTAAATTTCACGAGCATGTTAAGAAAATACAACTAGATGATCATCGCTGCTGACTTGCTTATTGGTTGACAACTAATTATCTCATGCTCTAAAAGCATTTAAGCTAAAGAGTTTAGGTGGTCTACCTTCAGATGGTTCTTATTTGACCTTTTAACTTCAAACAGTTGTTTCCAGGTCAATACACAAGCCCTTTATTCTGATTCCAGTCAATACTAATCTGATAGTATTTTAAATAGTGCGAAAGGCAACTATAAATTGATATTGTTGTCATTCTATATTTTACCAGAGTAATATATTCAACTTCACATTTGAAATAAATTTCAAGTATTCTCATTTCAGTTCATTCCTGCCCAGATTACATTCTTTTAATATGTCGAATGACTCATCATATCAACTCTTATCACATAAGTCAAGAGGCTAATCACATAGGATGCCCTTGTGCTCAGGACTTGCTCCAGGTCAGTCTCTTTATTTATATAGATTGAATCCCTTTCTTTTTTCTATCAATTTGATGGCTAATGCCATAAAACCAGATTAGGCCTATAGGCTAATAAACTTAAGAGGTATCCATATAATAAGAAAGTACACCACTATTACCTCAATGCATTAACAGTAATATAAGGCTTTGGGAAGATATGCGTGGCAAATTTTTACAAATTAAAAAAAAAAAAAGAACGTTGCAGCATATAAATCTAACCTTTGGCATAGTAGAACATTGTAACTGCTACTATAAGAAAATCAAAGATAATCACAGTTATCCAGGTCATCGCAGCAACAAAGTATCGAATCATCAGAAGCCACATCACAGATAAAAAGAGTGGCACTATTCCTCCGCAAACGATCAACACTGGCCAAGCCTTCCCAATATCTGCTACATATCTCTGTAGATCATTAAAAAAAACCATGTTTAGATGTTATCGATATTATAAGGTCTGTTGCTGTATATAAATATACAGTTGTGATTTGCAGGTGAATAAATGTCATATTAATTAAGTTTAAAGCCAATGTTTCGTTAGCTTCATCCCGACTCTCCAACTACATTTATATTAAAAAATTACAAGAGAGCCATGGAACATATTCTGCTTCTCCCCTCAGATCCATGTGATGTAGCAAGGATCCACGGATCTCATAACTCGATTAATTTCTAATACGAATTTAGCAAGTAATGCCAGGTAGAGTAAATGAAATACACGATACTATAATAATTTTTTAAAAATAAAAAAAGATCAACCTTCAAAACAGCAGAATGAGCATTGATGGCCTTGTGAATAATTTTATCTATCAGTATGTTCTCCTGAATACTGACACCACCCATCTGTTGCCAGTGTCTCATAGATGAGTTGGATGCACGCGCTATAAATTGGCAGCTCCAGAAGACTGAAAATAGAATATCGAAAGATGTTAGTCTTTTTTTTATTGTGCATAGAGAAAATTAGGTTTTCATTTCATATAACACACAAAGATAGAAACATAAAATTCCAAAAGGTAAGAAAATCATGCAAGGAACTTGAGCATCGGTTTCTAGTTACCGCTTATTGAGTTATGCATTTCATATTATATCATCCATACCAATGAGTTACTAAACTTTATGCAATTGTAATATTCTTAGGCTTTTCATGAAGTTATAGAAAGGATACTTACCATTTTCACTAGGAAATATAACTGGATAACATGGCCCTTGAAGCTGAAGAGAGCTATTCCTCATCTCCGGAGTAAGAACTTCATAATAATCATAGTTCCTATCAATCCAGTCATCAAGGGACACGTGGATATCTCCTTCAGGATAATCACAAACCCAGTTTAAACCATCTTCAGAAGGAGTTGGGCATTCCATCAAGCAAATGCTTCTAGCATCAGTTAGCTTAAACTCGCTACTCTTATCAGCACTTTGGTAGACTTGGTTCGGATTCACCCAATACTTGACCTCCAATTCGTGTAGATTTGGATCACCATGTCGGTCACCACACACATTCCCTTTGTAGTCTAGCCCATATGTCAGCCTAACGAGACAATTACCTTAGGTCAGTCAACCAAATGCTGAAATGAGCACTGCATAAGCTAGTACTCAAGATTGTACACACAAACATAAATTCTTAACTAAATTGACATAATGATGCTAGAACAAAGAGGAACCTTTCTACAACTTGGATATTTTCATTACGAGTGCAAACAAAAAATGAACATGAAATCATGTTGACAGGGCAAAATGGTATTCAAATGCATGATGTTAGATTAAGTCTATTGGGTATTGGGTTAATGGGCTGTGACCCGTTAACCATACCCCTATTTGTAGGCTGTGACCCGTTAACCATACCCCTATTTGTATGACTATATATATATCTCTCTAGTATCTGAATAAATAAATGAAGTTAGGGTTTTTGCTCTCTCAATTATCTCTTTCTACACATGAAAATCAACATCAGAGTCCCATACAATTGAATGAAGCGATGACAGTTTGTACAATTTTAATGCGCATGTTGTTGCAAAACTTAATAAAATTTGCTGCTTTAAAGATTTGAATCATCCAAATTACTAACTTTAGACATATAAATTTCCTATTAATAACGCCAATGTAACATTATAAAACTAAAATGCCTTCACAGAAAGGCTCACAGCCAGTCCCACAACAAAAACAAAACTTTAAACGCAATTTTGAGAAAGACCCATTTACTGAAGCAAATCGAAAACCAGTTCAAAGATTTCATCCTTATTTCCCCCTAAAAATATCTCATTTGGGTACCATTCAAACTCCAAAAAAAACCCACAATAAATGAAAAAATCCAAAAAAAATGATTGCAAGAGATTTACCTAAGTGGGTTCCCTTGATTGAACCCAAAGCTCGAATTGACAATCATAGCCACCCAAAATGTGATGAATATAACAAGAAACACCAAATCTCTACACTTTCGATTGTGCCTGATGATCCCATTCCCCATTTGCTCATCCCCATCGCTGCCTGGGTACTTCCCAATGATCGCCCCGAGTGGGCCCCCCATTCTCTGTCTATGAAGAATCTAGAGAGAGAAAAAGCGTTTTAGTGAGAGAAAGTAGTGGGTTTTGGAGAAGAGGCAGAAGCTATAGAGAGTGACCAGAGAGTGTGAATCCGTCGAAGTAAAGCAGTGAGGGTCTGGTGTGCCGACGGAACAGTTTAAATCTTAGTAAGACAAAATTGAATTATTGTAAGATTGGAGAATAGTTCTGACGTGATAGGTTAAGATTGGTTTGGTATGTTGTACTCGCGCAGGATTAAAGACAAGGGATTTTATTAATTTTAAAATAAATAAGTTTTATTGGATCGCTTTCGAATCTTTGTCTCCGAGTCTATTGACTTTGTTCAGTTGATCTTTTATAACATTATTCTGATTTTTAATTGTATGCTGCTAATCACAATTTAAAATCCTAAAGTTTTATAGACTTTTTATAGTTTAAAATTTGATACCCTAAAATTTCAACACTTTAAACTGTACATTTTGTTATGGCAATGTTCAAAAACTTGTTTTAGATGTCAATACTGTTTAGGGGTGTTTTTTGCTACAATTTAATGCTCAATTTTAAACTATTTATGTATGAAAATGTGAAGGAACGATAAATGTTTTTAATTTCGATATGTTTACGGTTAAATAACTGAAGAAGAACGAAATAAGTTCGAGAATTAAAACCAAAATATTTATATTGTGATAATACCATATGTAACGCATTTTAAACAATATTTTGCACATTGAATCAAACCATATAATGGTAGGTATTGAAGTTAAAAGTGCATTCGAAAAAGAAAGTTAAAAGTGACTTTGGATTAGTAAATTTAAACTTCAATAGAGTTAAATTTTATGAAAGTGTAGGGTATTGAGATGCAATTTGTTGGTGCCTGTGGCTAAATCTGGAATAAAACAGATAAATCTATTAGAGAGCTGAAGTGCTAAAATTTAAAACTTTTCAAGTTTAGTTGTTATGCATTTATGAAACGTTATGCTTAAATCAATATTTGGCCTACTCCGGCGCAAGGATCCCAATGCCAAACTGCTTTCAGGAACAGCAGTACAATACAATATGCACCGACCAAGTACTGTCAAAATCTTCTCGATTTATAAGACCTTTCGGTCAAGGCAAATATCTCCTCGATCTGTTAAACCTTTCAGTTCAGGCAAAGATCTCCTTGATCTGTTAAAACCTTTCGGTTTAAAAACCTTTCAATTCAGCAAAGTGCAAAGTACGCCTTACAAAGCGTCACTTGACGTCTCAGCCCGATTAGCCCCGATCCCCGGCCCATTGACCCACGGCCTACGAGCTCACCGGCCCACGGCCCACGACCCATGACCCACTAGAACTTATGATAGATTAATTGAATAAAAGTAATTCTCGGCTTGTCGGTGGCAAGCCTCGAACACAGGACCTTTTGAAATATCAAAACTTTAACTTTCCGCTATGTTACTAAGGATTTCTAAAAAATACCAGTAATTAATAAATACATAGTTTGAAAACTTATTTTTGGAAAGCGGTTTTGACCAAAATATTCAACAATCCCCCACAAGTTTTTAAACTAGTGTTGTGTAACGGTGTCGTTGTTTCAATCGTTATGCATAAGGTAGATGTCGTAAGGACTTGAATCCCCCTTAGACCAACTGAATAAAAGATAGATGCATGGTGTCGCAGAGACTTGAACCAGCACATGTTTAAAATCCAGCATCACACAAGATAAAATTCATTTGTGGTAGTTTTTACTTTGAACCACACTTATCTTTGCCTTTGCCTTGCACATTTATGGCCATGTGCATGTCCTGGTTTCTGCTAGGGCTCTAGGTTTCTTTCCACAAGACACCATAGGAGACGGCTAAATCTCCACCCAGGCATACGTGAGTTCTTTATGCATGTTTCCTATCAAACATCTCACATCTGAGATGCTTTGAACTCATTAAGGCTTAAGAGCCATCCTCTCTCATGATAGGATTCTAGGTGAGTCCTTTAGGCGTGTTTCCTATCTAACACCGCTCATCCGAAATGTTTTAGACTCATTAAGGTTTAACAGTCATCCCATTTATATGATAGAATCATCGGTGAGTCTTTTAGACATGTTACCTAACCAACAGCCCGCATCCGAAATACTTTTGACTTATTAAAGCTTAACAGTCATCCTCTATACCATGATAGGATTTTACTTACAAATCTTACTTGACTTTTGAACCAACCATCTTATCATTAGTAACGTAAGCTTTGAACTAATAACTTGATGTAAATGGTAAGTATTTGTAAGACTCACCAAACTTTGTAAATCTTACTTAACTTTTGAAGTAATTATCTTATCATTAGTAGCATAAGCTTTGAACTAATAAATTGATGTACATAGTAAGTATTTGTAAGACTCACAAAATTTTGAAACCCATTCTAACAGACATCCTTTCGACTATGTTATTTTTCAGACCCTTAGTCAAAGGATCAGTCATATTTTCTGAAGACCGGACGTCAATCACAGAGATGACTTCTTTGCAAATGAGTTCTCTCAAATAGCTATGCTTCAGATGAATGGTCCCTTTCTTTCTATTAAACATCGAGTTCGCTGCCACAGCACTCACCACCTGATTATCATAATAGATAGTAATTGCGCCTTGCAATTCTGTCAATGGAAGGTCTCGGAGAAAATAACTGAGTCACTCAGTTTCATCTCTTACAGCACAGAGTGTGAAGAACTCAGATTCCATCGATGACTGTGCAATCATAGTCTGCTTCTTAGACTGGTGATGAAGCCATCTCCAAAAAAATTTCGTCTCCTAACACGCTTAGAAGGTAGTTCGGTAACTCCTTCATCATTGACACTTCCGGTTTCTCGTAAAACTGGCTCCTCTGATGCTTCTGACGTACCAGTATTCTCTGCATCCCGAGCTTCAATAATCTATGGTGCATCTGACGTATTAGCATTCTCTGGTATATCTTTGAGCAATAAGCATTTGTCCTTGATAAACTTATCCTCAAAGAATTTTGCATCCCAAGCTTCAATGATGGAGTTGGTTCTAAGGTCCAGGAATATGTAAGCATCGCTATCTTCAGTAAAACCAAGAAACATACGCATGTTTGCCTTTAGTCCGAACTTAGGCCTTCTAATATCTGGAACTCGAACATATGAGATCCAAAGGATCTGGATATCCCAACCATAATTGATGAGGAGTACTGTCAGTTTTGAAATAGGATACTCTATTCAGAATCTAGTTTGCCATCAACATAGCCTCTTCCCAATAGCAGGTAGGTAAACCAGATGTGATTAGCATCGAATTTAGCATCTCGGTCAATATGCGGTTCTTCCTTTCTGCAAACCCATTAAATTGCGGAGAATGCGGAGCAGTAGTTTCAGCAATGATTCCATGCTCCTTGAAGTATGCTTCTGACTCCTTAGATCGGTACTCTTCTCCTCTGTCACTCCTGAGTCTTTTTCACCTGAAGTCCAATGTGCTTCTCCACATGAGTCTGAAACTCGATAAACTTGCTGAATGCTTCATCTTTAGATTTTAGCAGGTAGACGTGGCAGAAGCGAGAATGGTCATCAATGAAGGTGATTAAGTACTTCATGCCGCCTCGAGTGATGAAGCTCTTGAAGTCACAAGTATCTGAGTGAATCAGATCCAATAGATTGGTGCTCCTTGTGACACTTAGAAAGGGCTTCCTTGTCAGTTTCGCTTACGCGCAGACTTCACACTTCTTAGGTTTGTTACCCCCATATTTTGGAAGTAATTCTAACTTTTCTATGCTAGACAGTTTTCTATAATTTATATGTCCTGGTCTATTATGCCATAACATAGAGGAGTAAGCAGAAAAGAATATCTCATTTATAACTGAATTGAGTACAATAGTACTGATCTTATACATGTCATTAGTACTATATGCATTTCTAAGATACATTTTCTTAAAAGATAGCACAACATTTCCTCCTTAGAAATCCAGCCTCATACCTGCGTTACATAGCAGGCTTCCAGAGACTAAATTTTTGGCTATTGAGGGAACATGTTTTACATCTTTCAATGTGAGATTATTCCCTGAAGAGAGAGTCAGCACCACAGTCTCAATTCTAAGAACATGCAATTGTAGGATCGAAAAATATATGATTGAATTCCTTATTTTAAGAATGTATTTGATCACTTAGTACGAATCCCTTATAATTACTCTCTCTCTCTCTCTCTCTCTCTCTCTCTCTCTCTCTCTCTCTCTCTCTCGATTATAGAGGAAGAGAAGGTTGATCCGACTTATCTTTTGTTTAAAAGTGGATTCTTGGTGGCGAAAGAATGCTTCACTCGATGCTTGAGTTGAGATCGTCTCCCGTTGATGATCGGAACAAGAACACAAAAGCTTCTAAAAGTGGCTTAGATCATGAGAACAAAGACACTGATATTTCTTCACGCGATAGCCATAAATATTCTAAAAAGTCCTTTCTTCATAGCTGCTCATAGCTAGTGTTCGTAGCACGTAACTGACATGCTAGAATTGTGGGTAGAGAGCGTAACTGCCTCCTCCAATTCAACCCATGTTGGTTAATGGGGCGTAACGTGCTCTTGAAGCTTAGCCCACATGGCTGGTTAAGTCTTCAGATCCGTTATAGTTGGATCTTCTACAGACGACGAGCCTCGCTGCATGGCGAGGTTCGTCAGATTGGACGAGCCACAATACGCAGCGAGGTTCATCATATAAGGCAAGCTTTGTAGTATAGTGAGCTTCTTCTGACGAACTTTGTCTTCATTGACTACGTCTGACGAGCTTCGTCTTTACTAATGAACTCTGTCTTTGATAACTGGGTTCAACTGCATAGCAATCCTCATGAACTTCCTTTTGATGAGCTTCATCTTCACTGACGAGCTTTAAGACTGATGATGAGTTTTGTCTTCACTGACGAGCTTTACCTCTAATGATGAACTTTGAACCTCGTATCCAATGACGAGCTTCGTCTTTTGATGTCAAGTCTCACTGTGTGGCGAGCCTCGTCTTTGATGTGGAGCCTCTCTATGTGATGCGCCTCTGATATAGAGCCTCGCCGCGTAGCAAGCCTCGTCTTTGATGAAGACGAGGTTCGTCCCTATGACGACCTCCATCATATCTTAAAGTTC